AGTTTTCGAGATATTTCACCGGTCCGGGACTTTTTGAACACCTTGTATAGTATCAAATGTAATCCCCACCTCTAGGCCTATGAGATAGGCCCGCGAGCAATCGTCCATTTTCTTTGTCGGCTGCGGTGAGCCATCTATCCTACCTGTTGTGTCGCACGTTCTGATTTGCCCAACTATTTTAATTAATATCTCGAAATTTTATGTGGTTGTTTGAAAAACCTCTACAATTTTTGTTCACTTTTATCTTTTCTATTTATATTTTTCTTTTGGCACGTCTTACGCGGGACATCCTGTATATACAGGGTGTCTGACTCTGAACGCGTTTTCCTCGTTAGGAGTTTGGGCTGGCTAGTCACGCCGATGCTACAGCGCGTACATCATTCGTCTCACTGTAGCGCGTGTGCTGATTGGCCAGTGGGATGCCGCTCGGTAGAAATTTTTCGTTGTTAATATCTCAAAGTTTCACGTGGTTGTTTAAACAAACATTTCATTACATTACTCATCCCGACCTATTCTAGTTATATATTAGCTCTAGTACAGTACGAGTCAGATACCCTGTGTGTGTGTGTGTGTGTGTGTGTGTGTGTGTGTGTATCCATATATATCCATAAAGTAACACTTGCAACCGATTAAACAAATTTGTAAGATATTCTATGCATTCCCCTTTTACTCTAACAATCAATAATTTATTGTAAATTAACTTAAATAGAAATAGACGAAGAAATAGGTTCCCTCACAGCACATTAATATTGCCATAAGGTTACAACAACCTTAAATTGTAAGATGGTAACATTACACCAGGGTTGGGAACGTTACTTTTTAAAAGTAACGCGTTACCGTTACCGTTACTTGTAGTTAAAAGTAACTCGTTACCGTTACTCGTTACTGATTCTAAAAAGTAACGCGTTACCGTTATTTGAAAAGTAACGATTAAAAAATTGTTACTTTCCGTTACTTTTGTAAAAAAAAAAGTTAAAATCGGCTCATAAAACGAATAGTAAGAGAGAGTACATAAATTATACATATATAAAGACAAAATATAAGATATTTAAGCGGGAAACATTCTTGGATAACGACATAAAGCCCATTCTGCATTAGTCGCAAATCGTAAGGTCGCAAAGAAATTGACTAATCATATTCGATTGTTCTTTTTGCGATCGAAAAATAATCAATTATGATTGATCAATTGGTCCTTGCGATCTTGCGATTGCGACTAATGTAGAATGGGCTTTAAGGGCGCCGCAC